CATGGGCCAGCATATGGGCTACGGAAGGGCTAGTTAACATAACCTATTATACTGGTGCACTGGTAAAGCTCATTCCTATTCATCTGATGATTAGTTCAATCAATATTTATTCCTGTGTGCTTCTTTTGTCTTCAGCTACAAAGCATGCATTCTTCAATTTCATATCACAGACTTTGTTTTCTGTGAATTCACTGTATTATGTGAGAAGAAGAGAAACAGTTCACTGGATAGTTTGGAAATCACTCGTTTGTTTTTGTTTTCCTGTATCAGGTAACCAGTATCCATACCATGGTGGATCCTAATTCCTGGAAGTGCTCAACAACATAGTGCTGTTGAAGGTATACTTCATTCATACATTTCTATTTCATCCATCCAATAGGCACATATCAATGTCACATATTACAGTACACAAGCACTCTACAGACTCTGCAGTAGTTAGCATATTTTTACCAGGAATTCTGACTTCAAATTTACCCAGAGTGTATTTTTATTTTTTTTTGTTCCTGGTATATTTAACCTAGAATATTGATATATTTTAAATAAAAGACAAATTAATCTCTTAATGCTACCATGACTGTATTGTCATAAGTGTAAATCATATCAAGTTATTGCTTATCACTATATTTACTTATAAAAGGCCAATAGTGGATGTCAGACATTTTCTGTAAAACAAAAGAGAAATAATCTCCAGCTAATGGACATCATATTTTTGTCGGTTTTACATTGCCATATTTCATGTCACTGGACTTCTATTTATCAAACAGAATTTTCTCATTAAATAAAATCAGAAAAAAAATTTTTCTAAGGTAAAAATTATAAAGGTAATAAAACAGATATAGTTCTATATTGTAACTCCATTCTCCCTTCTCCCACCAAAACACTGTGGCATAATATAATAATAAAAGATTATTATTGCACAACATCCTTTGTAGTGTAAATACACTACAAATCCAAGTATTGCAGAGGTACAAATAGACTCTTGTACTTCAGATTTGATTCTTGATGATTCTAAAAAGACACCTGTCATGCTACATGAACAATACACGAACAATACATGTTTGTATTTTTCTATCATGTAATGCAGTTTATTACTGGCTCGTAATTTTCTAAATATTTACTAAAAATTGACCTGCAAAGGCCTAACACCGGAAACCTGATTTTCATCACACTTCAAGGAGTCTCAATGAAGTCAATAACATCATTCAGATAAGTACCAGTTGGGTGCACCATGCTGTGATGACAAATAGGTTCTGGTGTAATGGGGTAGGGTACTAAATCTGTCAAAATCTGTATTGATTCTGTTACCACTTTTGTTTTAAATAGTCAATGCATTTTTTTTTTCATTTTTTTGTTGACACCTTTTAGGATACTTCTGCCACATATTCCAAATTTAGTCACATTTCTTATTCCTAGAATAACTTTTGAAATAGATTCCATTTGCTTTAATGAGTGTATGAAGATTTATTAAATAAAGAGCTTAAATATTTCTCAGTTATCCAGACTATTTGTACATGTTACTTAATAAGCTCTCTCAGCAATACTGCAGATAGTATTTGTTTGATTCACACTTTGCTAATTGCTTACAAATATTCCAGCAATACTAAGAAAACAGAATAAATATATAACATTATGTTATACACCAACAAGTGTAAACTACACATAAAAACTTCCTTAAATACCTCAGCTTAGGGGCATCAAGGAATTCCATTTCTTTAAAACATAAAACTCTTTATAAGATTCACAAGTGAAAGCTTCAATACTACTTTTTCAATAAAGGAGTGCTCTATATAACTGTTTTGATGTCACTTTCATAGCTCAAATAATTGTGATCACAACTGTTATTTTTTTTTTTTTTTTTTTTGTCTGCATACAGGTAACAAGTGCCAAGAATAAAATTAGGTGATTTGTAAGATTTTATCCACTTAAGTGTTTCTGCTTGCATTAAATACGTGTACATAATGCATTAGCATTCAACAGCTTTAACTTTACAATTGAGTTTAACAAAAATTAAACTAGAAGATAAAACCTAAAAGACTTGTTTTCTTTTTTTAGTTAAGCAACACACCGATTTTAGAGCACTGTATAGCTCTCTTTTTCTAAAACTATTTTGTTAAGTGCATTTCTACATTTTTTGTTAAGTACATTCTTTATCCCTTCACAGGATTTTGACAGGAATGGAAGGTTGGAAATAACGAGGTCTCTGTTGTACAGTTATTATAAGTCTCAATCTACATTTTATACTTATACTTTGAAACGGAAAAGACATCAACTTCCAATTTACATTCCCAGTTCAGAGGGAAAGATATGGACCTACTATGACCATGACTGCATTTACAGGACAAGTGTTCAGCCTCCTGCACCAGAATATTGTTCAACTATAAATCAGCATGGCTGTGTGTCCTCAAAATAATTTAAAGGAGAAGTAGCACTGCATGCTGTTATTCTGAATATGGCATGACCAATGACTATAAATGTAGCGTCACAACATCTGGGATGTGCTTCAATGAGGGATGCACTACCATGGGATGGCAGAGAGCCTACAACAGCCCAGTGCTTTGGGATGCATCAATTCAAACTGGAAATTTTTGGCAGCTCTTTGGCCTCCAACTCTGATGTGCAGCAGGTGAACAACCACAACAAACTCTGCTCACCCTAGACATGTTGGGCATCAACTGTAACTCAGAAGGATCACAGCTTGGCTGGGAAATTTTTTGGGAAAACCTCACATATACAAGAGAGCTTCTTCCTCTGACCGTAACAGTGAGTAAAACAGTTGAAAACTCATTAAACCCTTTCACAAGAACATTTATAGCTCTCTAAATGCATTATTTCACAGAAGCTTGAAATCTATTATGATATTTATTTCATTTATTAGGTTAGCCACATATGCAATGGACAGATATTCTGTTAGTGTACAGTGTTCTCATCTGTTTGATTGTGTGTAAAGTACTGCTCTCATCTCGATGTACACCTGGTGTAAAATATCAGTTCAGTAACCTCTTGCACAATGAGTTCTGCACAAGGCTGGAAGTGGCCTGTTTGTCCCTCCACCCCAAACCATTTTTCCACCACTTGTAAATTCCCTGCTGAGCAAGTAAGCATACAGGAGACATGAACACAAACAAGCATCTAGTGCTAGAGCATCACACCTCTTCATGGATGGCAGCTGACAGCACAGCTCAAGGGGTGTCAGAGGAGTCAGAGACAGAGGCAGACCCTGTGAGTGATGCAACCAGGTGTGTTGGCAGATCCCACTCCTTGTCCCCAACACATGGCTGCTTGGCCAGACACAAGCTTGTTTTAAAGGAAAGGGTCAGAGTAGTGAGACAGCATTTCACTCCTTGCTTGTTGGTAGCACAAGGGGGACAAGAGGACAGGGTGGCTGTGCCTTGGCTGGCCTAGCTCCCCAGTACAAGGGAAATGGGTACCCTGCCCAGGGGGCACAGGCAAGCACATATCAAAAACGAACAAAAAAACCCTGAGCCACTGACTGGTTCTGTTCACAGTGAAGACGCTTCATTAACAAAAAATTGCTGCTGCAAAAGGAGACGCTCTACAGACTTGAGTGTATTTCCCCCTCTCCTCATTTCCTCGTGTTCTTATGAAAGAAATACTGTTTAGCAAGTTCTTGGTAGATGCCCCAAAGCACAAACCCTATCTTCTAGGAGAGGAGGGGGAAAGAGGACTTTTTTGTTTCTCTGTGCAAATGTCAAAGTTTGAATTTCTACAGAGAAAATTACACACATGCATGGTTTGTTAGTGCTGTTAACGAATTCAGCTAAAGGAGCAAATATCCCATACGAGAAAATCCTAGTTGTTTCTAGTGTGTGCATCCCCATTAAACAAACCAGAAACCCAAGATCTTTGCACGCAATGGGGATGTCACCCCGAGCATGTTTTGCTCCTTGCAAGCCCTTCTTCTCCAGCCCAATACCTCAAGACAGACTACTTTTTGCCACATTATCAAGCAAATGAGAGGAAGGATGGGGCACTAACGGAGCATGGAGGATGTGGCAAAGGAGGTGTGCAACCCCTGCGGGTGTCTGAGGCTGGCAAGGATAGTTCTTGCCTGACCCAGGAGAATGGGCCAGTGGAGTGCCTGCGGAGTGCTGCCCGGCCCTGAGACATGCAGAAACAATGTGCCCCCGTGTCCTCCGTGCCCAGCAGATAGATGTCCCAGTGCGTCAGACACAGCAGGCAGCATGTGGCCCGGCGGCACTCTCTGGACCAGCTGCCCAGCAGCTTGGCGGTCTCCTGCCAGTGGGGATGCTCCGCAGTCTCCTGCAGGACCTCCCACAGGTGAGGTTGCAAGCTCTGGGGATGCAGAAGCAAAGGCTCTGGCTGCCCTCCAAGGTAAGTGGTAGAACATGGCTGCACAGGGCATTTGCCTGGGGGACCATGGAGGAGAGTTGCTGGCATACCGAGGGGGATCCCGGGAGACACATCCCGCCCCATCTGCCGCCCCCGAGGAAAGTGGGCCCCATGAGATTAGGCGGCTGGTGAACAGCGTGAAGCCAGTGAAAAGTCCTGAGAACAACTTTTTGGGAGGGAAGGGAGAGCCCTACCCGTACTTGCAGACCTGGGACCAAGGGGCAGGCAGCTCCTGCGGTACAGACCACCTGCCGCCGGTGAGCACGTCCCGTGTACAGTTTTGGGAGTGTTTAGGGGAGTGCTTCAATGCAGAGACATCGGTAGTCGCTTCCCTCCCTCCATCCCTGCCCTCTTCGGCCTCAGGCGACTCCAGACTTCCTCGTGCGGCCCTCGGGGCACGTCAGGGTTGTCCCTCACCCTCCTGCGGCGGGCACTTCGAGCTTGTCCCCGCGGGTGCGGGGAACACGCTGAGAGCAGCCACGCCGACAGGCAGGCGCGACCCACCAACTTTATCCCTCGGACCCTCTCCCTCGGCACAAAACCTCCTCTCCGACCCCATCCCCGGCCGTTTCCCCGGAAAATAAGAATAAATAAGATAAGCCGCTCCCCACCCCGCCCAGCCCGCTTACCTCGCATGGTGTTGGCGACTCCCCGCTCCGCGCAGTCATGAAGCTGGGAGCCCGGGAGCCGCACCACGAAAATCCCGTCTCAGCACCCGCGGAGGCGGCGGGGGCCGCAGCTCTGCTCTGCCGGGAACACCATCCCTCCGAGGCGGCTCGGCGGGGCGCGGCTCGGCGCGGAGCGGCTCCGCGGACTGCCCGCCGCCGGGAGAGCTGCTCGGGGACGGCCGCCGCGCACCCGCCCGCCAGTAGCGGAACCCCTGCAGGGGTCGCCGGGGCCGCGGAGCGGCGGCGGCTCGCTATTTGCGAAGTGTGTGTGTGTTTATGGGAGGGAAGGAAATGAGGGAACGGAGTTACGCTAGGAAAAAAACAACAATAAAAAGGGAAAATGCACGGACAGAGGAAAAAGAAGAGCGCGGAGGGCTGCGGGGATGGCAGAGCATGTGCACTTTCACATGACACGGGCGCCCCTCGGCAGCTCCCCGGTGCGGATTTCCACTGCGCATCGACAGCGACGCGCGGAACGGGAGAGAGAGACCCAGCGAGACCGCGGCCGGGAGGCTTATAGAGGGGGGCGGGCGGCGCCGCCGGCACGGCCCCGCCCGCTGTCAGCGCCGCCGCCAATCGCCGCCCGCCCGGCACCGCGCTCGCGGGCGGCACCGCGCCGCTGCCGCCAACCCCGCACCGGACCCGGCACCGGCACCGGCACCGGCACCGGCACCGGCACCGGCGGCGCGGGGGGCTCCGATCCGCTCCGCGCCCCGCCGCGCCCCTCTACTTCCCCGCAACTTTTACCCGTGGCGGCCGGGGCTGGGCGCGGCGGTGCAAAAACGAGCGTGGTCCTCCGGAGCTTGTGGAGAAAGGTAACAGGCAAAGGAAAGCCCCTCGTTTTCTTTTTTTTTTTTTTTTTTTTTCGCTGGGTAGGGGTGTGTGTGTATGCTGTGAGGGTGCCCTGGGAGGAAGGTTAAAGCGTTGACCCCGGTGAGGTTGGCGCTTGGGAACTCCGTTCCGTTTTCCGACAAGAGTGGTAAAGTTTGGTGGTGAGTCATTTGCTCATGAAAGAGCGAACCTGGATGTAAAAAGCAGTTTATTTTCCCTCTGTAGGACCAGCAGACAGTAGCGCAAAAACCGATTTGTTCCGTGGACAGCGGGATTTTCACTGAGTTGTACCCCTTGCTCTGAATTAACTGATGTTTTCCCCATGTTTTGCTCATAAGAAAAATGACTACGGACTCTTTCCGATTTTTTTAATTTATTTTTTTAGAATTCTTTCCATGTGGTAAATCATAGAACACCATGACAAGCCATCTCTGTCGGTCATTTTAAAAATAAGTCCCTAATGCCAAGGATCACAGTTTCTATCTCCAAGCATAACATAAAATTAAAAATAGAAAAAAAGAAAAAAAAAAGTTTTAACTGAAGTATATCCATACAAAATTATTCATATCGACCTCAAAAATTAAAATGGGATATATTTCAAAGAGAGATACCTTTAAGATAAATATGAACCTGGCAAAGTAAATTTATTCTTTCCTACATGAATTATGAGATGAAATTCTATCAACCCTGTTGTACAAGAAAACAGAGGTAAGATTTGTTATGCTCTGAAAAAGTTAAGGATCAGTACAGGAAAAAAAAAGGCATAGTGATGCTTCCACTGTTCATGCAAACTAGCAAAGCTTCAGTCCTGGGAGGAATGTGAAAGGTTTGCAGGAAGTAGTCAGACTTTTTGCTGGTCAGACTCTCAAAACACTTGTTTGAACTGAAGCTGAGAGAGACATGAAGAACCTTTGCCGATATTGAAAATATTTAAATTTACCTGATCTTGGTGAATTTTGTTTTAACTGGATTTGATGTGGTGAAGAAGGGGTTGGTAAAAATCACGCAAAGCAAAACAAGCAAACGAACAAAAAACACACTGAATTCCTGAGATATTACAAATCTAATATTCATGACCATCTGATTTTATTTATTTATGAAATCTTATGTACTGCAATGCCCAGCTCTTTTTTTTTTTTTAGCATTTGCTTAGGGCACTTTCTTAGAATCTTGTTTACAAACTTTTATCAATTGGTTTTATTTACTCCTCTTGTATCAGCAGACCTTCTAATACTTTCCATCTTTTCTCTTCACAAGAATAGGTATTTCCAGTGGCATATTTTCTTTATAACAGAGATTTTAGCAGGTGTGACTGGCTGCAGACAGGACTGTCTAAAGCATTTTCTTTTGTGGATTTTCCCATCAGCCTTCTCTCCAACCTACCCATGATGAGCAAAATTTCTGAGATAACTTCAATAAAACAACACTTACACTTCACTTGACAAAGAAAGTTAGAAAGCATGGGAAATATATCTAATCTTTTTAGTGTGTCTAATTTACCTAACATCTAATTTGGAATTTGGGTGCAGTGTTAATTAGCTTCTGGCATGTGCTTGGGGCTTTAGAAAAACAACTAGGAGAAAGAGATACTGTATCTAATTCGTGCCTGATGTACTGCAACCAAGACTCTTATTTTTTGTGGATGTCCATGTAGCAGCCATAACAAAAACAGAATTGGAATAGGAGTCAATGACTTTTTTTCCATGTTTTCAATCTTGTCTTTATTGTCCATGCCAATCTGACTTTTAGATGTAATTGTTGTAAAGCTACATCTTAACACCAGTCTAAACTTTGATAGGTAAATAACAAGCTTTCTACTTGCTAAACAGTGCATTCAGAAAACCTTGCTCTACTGCATTAAGTACTAGTACACCCTTATTTTGAATTTATATGGTTATTTTAACAACTAAGAAAAATAAGCCAAAACTGAATTGCCTGTATTCTCTCTTAATTTGATTTTGATTTTGTTTATCAACTATATATTATATATATATTTAAATTGACAAAAATAATTTAGCCTTTAAGGCTATTTCAGCCTCAGATAATTTCAGCCTTGAACTTTTTTCTCTCTGCTGTATAGAGTGGCAATTTTTATTTGTTTTCAGAAGTCCTTGTAGAATTTTGGTTCACTCCTCTGTCTTGATCTAGAGGTTGATCCCTCTGTATATGTACCCAGATGTCAGAGCTAACTTCTTCATCGGCTGTAGCAAGTTGTTACATCTGCAATTTACTCTAATACTTACGATGAGATATTGTCTGCTAAGCAAATGTAGGGTTACTGAAATCATTCTACATCCAAGTAGGTGAGCAAGACACAGGAAAGCTGTGACCTGACTTCATAGAGGAAATTGGCATATTTAAAAATTTAACACATATCTTAAGTAGTTTAAGATAAACTGAGTTGTATTCATTTATTGAACTCAGTGTTCTTGGAAGATAGTACTTATCTTAGGTTTCAAAGATTACATGGTATTTCTCGTTTCATGAGTACTTCAGGGAAAATGTTTAGAAAAAGCGAGGCTTAAAGAGTTAAAATATAATGAATATCTTGTTTTATTTAGAATGTTAACTAATGCTTTCAAAAAATATTATTGCTATTATATTGCTAATAATGCTAATATATTTACACTAGAAGCTATATAATGAAAAACTGCCATTCCGAATTCTCTCTTAAATTAGCACCTTTTCCAAGTCTGCTTGAATGACAAATATTTAAGACAATATTTAGTTTTATCATTTTAATCATTTGCAATGTATTCATTAGAACTGTATCAAGTTTTGTGTACTATAGTTTTTTAATTAAAAATTTTTCATTAAAAATTACTGCTGCAGTCAAAACAAACTGTGTCCACAGGCCCCATTCTATTCCTCTGAATAGGTCAATTTCCAATGGCATTAAAGAAAGCCAGATCCATCCTGTAGGCAAAACTAGTTTCTTAGGTTCAATAGAAGCAAGATTGGTCACACTTTTCTTAGTCTCATCTGTCTCTGTGGTCTCAGTGCCAGACATTACTAACTGTATGTAAGTCATGAGACAGAGTTTCTAATTTTGCATTTTATGACTTCTGCATGGAGTTATTGAAAGACTCGAGAATCTGAACTTCTCCCATAGATTCTTCACTTCAAATTCACTTTCTAAGTTCTTTCTCATTGATTTATACCTGCATGCCTTAGATAAAGCATGCACATATTCTGTTTATGTGCTATAACCTCTCATAACCATTATAAAATTTCAAACGTTTTATAGAATATTATTTAATTCAAGAACTATGTGTTTTTTTCTGAAGTACTAAAATTGTTTTAAAAGCATCCCTACAAAGTTCTGACACATTCAGAAACAATATTCAGTAGCAGAAAATCTTTAATTATGCCAATTTAGCTTTAGAAGCCAAGATTGTAATGCATAATGCATGACAGGATAACCAGAAACCAAAAAAAAATCAGAATAAAAAAAAAAAAAAAAGGAAACAAAACTAAACATACTTGATTATTTCCTATGTTTTGTGAGAAGTAATCTCTAGATTACAAAAAAAAGAATGTCAACTCCTATAAATGCTTCATGACATTTAAAATACGATGTTTTATTTGATACCTCAAATTTATTTTAAAATGTTCGTATTTGATTTATTTTCTTACAAATATATTGTTTTTCAAGTGTTACTGAAGCCTCATTTTCTTCTGCATTTTCTTCCCTGCCCTGATGGCAGAACTTGTACAGTGATTCATACCTGCCTTTAGTACATTGTCAATCACTAGATCATTGTATAAAATGTCTCAGTGAAATATATCTGTGGACAAGAATGGAGGACAAATAGTAGGTGAGAAAATGCTTTGTTTAAAATGTTTACCTAAGGTAGCTACTAAATAAAAATGGAAAAATAAAACAAACAACAAAACTAGCTGTAAGGGTCATTGCTGGTCAGAGCTGAATTAAGTCTAAAGCACCACAAACCTTAAAGTGGTATTTTGGGTCAGGTGTTCAGACTGGGAAGAGGCTATGTTTGGTGGAAGCATGTAAAACCAGTAACTTGGTGTTTGCTGTGGAGAAACTACAGAATATCTGAATGTTAATGGAGTAAAGAGGCAGCAGAGGAACACTGCTGAAAAAAAGCTGCTGAGAGGCAATGACCTTCTGACATTTTCATCCACATTCTCCTTCCTTGGCAGAGCCAAACATTCCTCAGTTGTTTTATGGCAATCCAGGAACAAGAATGGACTTCAGCAAAGGGGACAGGGAGACAAGAGGTTGAAACCTCTCTGAAACCTTAAAAACACAAAATAAAACACAGAAGAAAAGAAGCAGGATACAGCCTATAGATGAACGCTTTTTCCTACTAGCAGGCTCTGAGGGACCAGGGGGTATAGGCTGAGAACAAGATGATTTCTTTAAAGTGTATTGGTGTCAAACAGTAATTTAAAAAGCAACAATCTATTTCAGCCAAAGAGTTTCCACTATAAATGGACAGTGACCTTTCAGCTAAACATTCTTTTTGCCTCATGGAAGCAGTCTGTCCTTTCCTTTTCCTTTTCCTTTTCCTTTTCCTTTTCCTTTTCCTTTTCCTTTTCCTTTTCCTTTTCCTTTTCCTTTTCCTTTTCCTTTTCCTTTTCCTTTTCCTTTTCCCTCTCCCTCTCCCTCTCCCTCTCCCTCTCCCTCTCCCTCTCCCCTCTCCCCTTCCCTTTCCCTCTCCCCTTCCCTCTCCCTCTCCCCTTCCCTCTCCCTCTCCCTCTCCCTCTCCCTCTCCCTCTCCCTCTCCCTCTCCCTCTCCCTCTCCTCTCCCTCTCCCTCTCCCTCTCCCTCTCCCTCTCCCTCTCCTCTCCCTCTCCCTCTCCCTCTCCCCTCTACCTCTCCCTTTCTTTTTTCTTTCTTTTTCTTTTTTTTCTTCTTCTTTCTTCCTTTTTTTATTTTTTTAATTTTATTTTTTTTTCCTTTTCACTGAAAAAAGCAGAATAGAGATATTTTATTTATCAGTAAATGAATTTGTAT